TTTCTGTCCCTTTAAAAGCCTTTATTTCACCACCTCAGAAGCATAGTATTGATGGATGTAGATTTTTAGGTTGGTAGATGGTTTTCTTTCTTTTGCGCGCGCGCGTGCGCACACACGCACGCACACGCTTGTTACTGGGGGTTGAATCCAGGGGTGTTTAACCACTGAGATACATCACCAGCCCTTTAATTTTTTTTTTTTAATTTTCAGACAGAGTCTCACTAAGTTGGTGAAGCTGGCCTTGAACTTGTGATCCTCCTGTCTCTGCCTCCCAACTCATTGGGATTGCAGGTGTGTGCTGCTGCACCTGGCTTTGGTGGATAGTTTTCTTCTTTCAATACTGTAAATGTCTCACTCTGTTCTCAGCTTGCTTGTGTGGCTCACAAAGGGAAGTCTGAGGCAATTACTATCCTTGATTTAATTACTTTTTCACCTGTTAAGATTTGGCTGAGCAGATGTCTGGGCTCAGCCCAGGGAGGGTCCCCACGTAGTTCTGTGGCCACTGGGAGCCAGACTGAGTTCAAGTCGACTGCTTTGTCCTTGTTTACCAGGTGGAGAAGGAAGTCAAGTATTGCCTTGTGGAGAGCCATTCTTGCACGTGATTGGGCACCTCCCTGATTGGGTGTGAGGCGTTCTGGCCAAACTGTGTTGGAGCTAATCCCCACCCTCTCCAGGTGTGAGAGCCTGTCCATGTGGGGGTGTGACTGACCATTGACCCTGAGACCAATCACTGACCCTGACCTTAGAATGCTGCCCCCCTCGACCTTCATTGGATGGAATTTTCCCCTGAATTTCTTGTTCTCCATAAAAGGCCACTCCCTGGCGTGTTCTCGCGCTCTCTCTCTCCTGCTAGTCCTGAGTAAGCCTTGCTGTTCCACTGGGTGGTTCGAGGTGAGAGCTAGAGGGAGGGCCATCTCGGACCTGGTCAAAGAGAAAGGTAATTGAGTCTTGTGTGTTTATTTTGATCTCACTAGTTAACTTCTATGCTATGAACCTCTGGTATGAAACCAGTGTGCTGGTCGCCGGGTGGATTGCCTCAGTCCCTGAGGTGGAGGGTGGACTTCAGACCCACTGCCACCGGAGACTGTTTCTACCACTTGCACAGCTGCCTCTGCCCCGGTGCGTTCCTGTTCACCCCGTGGTTTTATCAGCTGTTTCTACCAGGGAGTAAGTTGGGGGCAGGCTGGGCCCTGTCCATTCTGATCAACGAGAATCAGTACAGATCTCCCCAGGAGCTGTGGTCTTCCCAGCTCTGCGTTGCCGCACTTGGCCCCCAGGGGCTGTGATGCCCTGCACAGCCGAGCTGCTCTGCCTACCCTGGGTTTCTTCTCACGGGCATGGGCTTCGGCACCAACAGCCATCTTTCCTGAGGACCTCCACCAATCCTCTGCTTGACCCTTAGACCTGCTCCTTGTGTTTAATCAATTGAGTGTCAAGAACAGAAATTGAAGGCCCAGAACAGGGGAAAACAGGAACTTCAAGTCCCTTATATTTATCCTGTGCCCTGATAATGTTCTGCTAACGTCCTGTGCTCAATAAACCAAGAGCTGTTCTTCTGGGTGTAGAGAAAGAAGCATGTGTGCCCCTCAGACCCCTGCCTGGGTGTAGTGTTGGGCACAGAGCTTCTGGGTGAATGCCTGCCTTGGGGACCGACCCTGTTCCCAAACCCTGGCCGGTGTGTGTGGTGGTCTCCATGGAGTGACTATGAGAGCAGTTTTAGTCCTTGTAGGAATGTGGGCCTCTGAAACCCTCCCAGATTTCAAAGTTATATCGTCATTATAATTTCATGTCATTTTAAAAGAGCAATGAATGTGCTTCAGCATCAGAGACTCAGCTACGATGAGAACCTGTGGGGTCTGTGGACTCCATTCTTATCAGCCACCCGTAGCAGGGCAGCTGGAAGCCCCTCTTCCCACCCCTGCACTTGCAGTGTCTGCTGCATGAGTTTGGGCAGGGACTTTGCAGTTTTCCCCTCTTCTCTGGCCCCTCTGGAATCCCATGCCTCCTTCCTTCAGGGAACATGGAGTCAGCACTTTCCTGCAGCTGACTCTCCTGATTGTGGTCAGGAGTCAGAAGCTTTTGATTTTAGTTCCTGGCTCAGCATGGAGCAGGAAGCTGGTTGTCTCCTGTGTTAGGGCTGAGGCCATGACCCTCTACTGAGGGTCCTGCAGGGCATCATGGTCCTCTGGCCTTGGCTGAGATTCTTCTAGAACTATTTATGGGTAGCTGTCCAATCTCTGAAATGTGACTTGGAAAATTTCAGAGCCTATCAGATTTCCTGAACATATGAGCTTTAGTCACATCCATCCCAAGGTCACCACCAGTGGGTTGCTGTTGCGTAGACTGTAAGGTGAGAAGAGCAAGAGAGCACAGTGCTGTTGTGATGAGGAGGCGCGTCTGCCCTGAGCAGCAGACACCAGCTTGCTTCCAGAGGAGGAAATGGCTTCTGGGGAGAAGATGAGCTTCAGGGTCTGTGAGTATGAAAACTTGTGGAGGAGAATGAGTAGGAGATGGAGGTGGCAGTGGGTGGCAAATGGGCTGGTGATTCCTCAAAGCTCCTTAATGAGCCCTTGGGATCCCTGAGAAGATGAGCAGGTGGTGCCGGGGCTCAGAAGCCGTAGGAGAGCACCAAGACTGATCACAGAGCTGGTCACCAGACCTCTGTGGAGCTTGGGGGCCTGACTGACATCAGGGCTGCTTAGTACTCCTTTCTGCCAAATAGTAGCTGTATATCTTAAGTATTTAGGAATTGAGCTCTGAGTAAGACAACTTCCCACTGTTTGGTGTACACAATTTTTTTAATGGGGGTACTGGGATTTAAATCCAAGGGTGCTCTACCACTGAGCTTTCTCCCCAGCCCTTTTGTTTTATATTGAGACATGGTCTTGCTAAGTTGCTGAGGTTAGCCTCAACCTCCTGCCTCAGTCTCTGCATTCCTGAGATGACAGGCATGCACCGTGGTGTCCAGTTCACAGTGACATGTTTTTATCTGAAACACAATTGAATGGATATGATTTTGTAAATAGCTTCCCCTAATAATTATAAGAAGTGTGTGCTAGAACTCCAACTATCCAAAAAATAAAATAAAATAAATAAAATAAAATAAAATAAAATAGTAAAGTAAAGTAAAGTAAAGTAAAATAAAATAAAATAAAATAAAATAAAATAAAACCCTGGTTTTAGTGTTTGCCGCCCTCTAGTGTCAATCTTCCCACCACCGCCAAACTCAAGATGTGGGCTCCATCCACCTTTGGCTCTCGCAGCACCCCTGCCTCTAGGTGCCTGGGAAGCAGGAGCCTTGTTGGCCTGAACATCCCTCCCCAGCCGAGCCCTGTCCTGGACCAGTGCTGTGCCTGCTCACAGGCTCAGAGCAGGGGCCACTCTGGATCCCCTCCTACCACTTCAGGGACCTCGGTGTTTTCACCTCTCACATGATCCTCCCACTGCAGCTGCGAGCCTCACTGTGCACGTCTGCTGTCAGTGGTGCTGTCAGACATCACTGTGGGGAGGCCTTAGACCTGCAGGCCAAGCCCACTGAAGCCCAGAGCAGAGCCATGGCCTTGCATGTCCTGCAGTCCTTAGAGTAGAGACCACGTTGGTGTGCTACGAAGCCAGTATTTGGAACAATTGAAAACTGGGCAAGGAAAAAAGCTCCTCCAATTTTTGGGTGACTTCCTATCACATGGCAGTGTAACATTAGCAGGTGGCTGTGGCTTGTCCAGGGAGGTGAGCCAGTGGACGCTGTCAGCAGTGGCACATGAGGGTGTGGCTAGTGCTGTCTGCTGTGAGGCCATCTTTTGCTTGCTGTTCTCTCCCAGCAGTTCCGCATGCACCTTGGGAAACCCTGATAGAAGGCCCCTCCGAGGGAAGCAAGGCCCTTCTTCCAGAGGTGCGGAGGTACAGCACGTGGGTGGGCAGGGGCCTGAGGCCTGCAGAGAGAATCCTGAGGCTCTGGGAAGGGTCTCACAGGGGGAAAGATCCAGGCTTCACATCCCACTAGGTGGCTGGGAGGAGCCCCTTGATTTGAAGCCTGAAACTGGTTCCCCGCTGAGTGGTGGCCCCAGGTAGTAGGCAGCCTCCCGGGGCCCTGGCTCCAGGGTCTCTCAGGCTATGCTCTTCTCAGCCCTTCCTGGTGGGGTGACAGGCTCTTTAAGGGCTGGATCTGGGGGTGGGTTAAAAATGTACTGGGCTTTGGGAGGCATCCTGTGTTTTCAGAGAGCTCCTGGTGAGGGTGAGTTGCTCTGGGTGACTGCAGCAGAGGAGCTGTGGCTGAGCCTGGCAGGGTCTTCTGTGCCCAGTGGCACCAGGGCCAGCTATCCCCTGAGAGCCTGTACTTAACTTTTGATTTTTCTCTTTTCACAGAGAATTTGTTTTCCTCTTCCACATGGGAAGCCTTGCCGAGGTCCAGGGAGGCAGGGGTTCCTTGCTGGGGGTTGTAGTTGCTGGGCAGCAGTCCTCAGCCTGCTTTGCTTCCCTCAGAGCTGATCAGGAGGAGAGTGGGACGGGGCTCTGTCTCAAAGGCTTCTGGTGATGGTGGTGTAGGCTCAGAGGCCAGGTCTGGGGATCAGAGAGGGGCTTGCTGGAGGAGGAGGTGCCCTCCACAGCATAGCCAGCTCCAAGTCCTTTCCTCCCGCTTGCACTTCAGCGCCCTGGAGATTCCTGTGAGTTCCACTCAGCCAGGCTCACGGGAAGCATTTCCATCACCGCTGCCAGGAGCCAGCAAGAGGGCCCAGGTCCTGGGTGTGGGGCTGCTGCTGAGAGTTCAACCTGTTTCCATCAGGTTTGTGTTTAGGACAGGCTCAGGAGGGACTGTCTTGCAGGAAGACAGGTCCCCAGAGACAGGAGGCAGGGCCCTTGAGGGTCCACAGGAAGCACCAGGGTGGACAGGGGGCAGAGAGAAAGAGGGGAGTGGAGGCCAGAGCCTTTCTTGTGGCTTCCATGGGAAGGGACAGGTGGGGTGGGGCAGGGGCGCTTGGGACTGGCTGATCAGATGGATTCTGAGGCCTAGGGGCTGCCCTAGTCATCCAGTACTGGCCTCGGGGTGACCAGGCCAGTGAGTAGTAGCCTGGGTGGTTGAGAGGCATTGGATTGGTTGGTTTGCATAGGGAAGTCCCACTTACTGGTGAGTCTCTGCATCTCTGGAGCTGGCTGTCTCTGGGGAAGCTGTCCCTCAAGGTCATCAGATACAGAATGTGTTTATCCCGCTGTACATTGGAGAAGGAAGCTGGATCTGGGTGCAGAGGGTGGCCCTGGACACTATGGTGGAGGACTTCTCCTTGGGGCTTCCCCTTGTCCTCCTGGGGCACAGCCCTTAGCCAGAGTCACTGTGAGGCTCCGGCTTGTCTGTGGTGGGCTGCCGTGGGCTGTGGTGGCTGGACTGCAGAAGCTTCCAGTGTTCCCACACATCAGAAGTGTTTTGTGTTTTGTTTTTTGAAATTAACCTGTTACTATTAAATAAAATTCAGACACAGACAGTCATGCACAAATGTGTAACTTCCTGGATTATTTGGGCAGAAACTCTTGTTGCATCACTCCTGGTCAAGAGTGTGGTGGGCTCCCCAGAAGCAGACTCCGGGGGTAGGAGATGTTCCCTGTACCCCTCAACCAATGACAGACGTGCAGAGGTTCCATCAGAGGTGGCTGTTGCCTTCAGCAGGACTTCAGATGCCTGGTGACCAGCCCTCAGGGGGCTCCTTGGATCTGAAGTGAGCAGCTGGAGGCCCAGGTCCACTCTTTCCCTGGGGTGCAAAGCCAGGTTCCGCCATTTATTTTTATGTGTCGGTGAAGAAGGCTTTGTTTATTGTGGTTACTTGTGGTTTTGGGGGTGGAACCTGGGCCTTGCTCATGATGGGCTGGTGTTCCAACACTGACCTGCACCTGCAGCCCTTCTGAAGTGCTGGGATTGGAACTGAGGGTCTTGTGCATGCTGGGCAAGCTTCTACCGCTGCGCTGCACCCCAGTGCAGACGAGATGGTCGCATGGTCTCCTCATCCACACCAGTCTTGGTTCCTTGGGACCAGGGACGATCAAGCCAGACCATGACCTCTCTGCTGGTCTACTTGACCCTGCTGCACCTGCGTGCCTGGGAATCTGCAGCGCCAACATCGCCGTCTCCTCCGCCATCGTGAGGGCTGCTGAGGAACACTGGCCTCTCTCTGCCTGCTCCACCTGGGTTCAGAGGTGGCCTGTGGCCACGCTGTCTGCTCATGAAGCCACACATCTGCTCTCTGTGCTCTCCCACCCTGTGTCTTTCTGCAGCACCTGGATGTCAGGCTGTCTGCTCCAGGCTCACCTCAGTGTTCACTGTCACGTCCTTCTAGCGGTCTGCTGTGGGACGCTGTTTTTGATAGATTCAGCAGGGAGGCTCTGGGGGAATAGATCTCTCAAGCTATTCTGGGGATAACAGGATGCCTTCGCCCAGTTCACGGGTTGCCTGTCCATTTTTATGGAGGTCAGAGAGCTCCGCAGACTGTGTCTCCCTTATGATGTCATTGCTGGTCCCCCATGGGGCTTCTCCTGTGCTCTGGTTACCCTCCTGTGCTCCTGTGTGTCTTGCATAGTGTGACATGCCTGTGACACGCCTGGTTTACTTAGAGACTGGCTTCTCCTCTCCATTCCCCACAACTTCTCTCTGCCGTTGCCTCGGATTCTGGGACCTGCTTTCTGGACTCCAGTGCTCCCGACCCCAGGAGTTCATACCTGCTCCTGAGGCTTGGGCCCTGCATTCAGCTCAGGGCTCCATCCATCCTGGTTCTCCCTCTTGTGACTCAGGACTGTTCTGGGAGGGCTCATTTGCTGCACCTGGACACCATGCCTGGCTTGGCAGGCAACGGAAGGCACGCGTGTGTGCAGGTGTGAGTATGTATGCGGTCCTCAGTGATGAAATGCTGCCCAGTGCATCCCCTTCCCCCCAAGAAGGGGCCCTTGGGAAAGATGCAGAAAAGGGGTGCAGAGGCTACTGGGGGAGAATACAGCTACTGGCTGACTTGGTGGAAGGTGGGGAGGGAAGGTGTGGGAGGGCTGGAGAGGAAGCAGGTGTGTAGCCAAGAGACGAGGAACCAGGTGGCTTTGAAGGGGAGAGGGGTCTGGTGGGGAGCACCTGCAGCACTAAGATGCATGGGGAGTGTGGGGTAGGAAGGCCACCTGTAGGACCCCTTAAAGCCTCCAGTTGGACCTGGGGTTGAGTTCAAGATAGAGCAGAGCCTGTTGTCCAGCTGTCCCTAGAGGACTTCCATTGGGGTGAGACTCAAAATCAGCACGGGTCATCTCGTCCCACTTTCCTCCTGAGGCCTGGTGACTGTCCCTCCTTCCTGTGCTGCAGTCAATGCTGGAGGAGAAATAACCGACCTGGGGGCACTTCCCCACAGTTGGAAGCCCACTGTGTCCAGGCCTGACTGGGACCCTCCCCAGGACACCCACAAGATCGTCACCCACTGAATGGGCAGACAAACCTTGTCCTTTGTGCCATAGGCTCCAGGGTTGCGTGTGGCCAGAGCTATGGCCCCAACTTGCTGGGTGGTTGGAGGCCAGGTGTGAGCGGACTCTGTCCCCACACAGACCCTGAGTCCCTGCGTGTCTGCGGACCTGTGGTACAGGCAGGGAGGCTGGGAGAGTCACAGGCAGGAGGCCCGGTTCACAAAGGGCTCTATCTCCAGGCTCCTTGATGGTCAGCTGGTGGGAACTTCAGGGCTTCTTCCTGGGAGACGCAGTGCAGTGAACTGCAGCTCTGCTCTGGGCCTCTCTGCAGGTGTCTGCACTGCTTGTGTGGCCAGGGCAGTCCTAAGCCCCAGGCTCTGTCCACCTCGGCCGTTGAACCTCCGGGAACAGAAGGGAACCAGGCACGGCGAGGTGGGTGGAGCCCTGGGACGGCCATGGCTGCAGGTGGGGGTGCAGCCCCTTTTGGGATTTCTGCAGTGTCAGGGCATCAGGAGCAAGTGCAGGAGAGTTATAGGTTAGGTGCCATTTGGCCCTAATAGATGCTCCTCATAGACATGCATGTCATTCACAGGTCACAGGTCATCGGAGAGATGCAAGAGTTTTGTGATACTCTGCTGTGAGCTGGGGTCCCTGTCAACCCCTCTACCTCATCACATCCCATGAGTCAGGGTGACACGTGAGCTTCAGCTGGTTCTCAACTCTTCCAGGACGTGACGTGCATGGGTTCAGGAGAGACAGCCTGGGTGCCCCTCAATCCCACCTGTTTCCTTGCAGGACTGTGCTAACCCTCTCCTTCTCTCTGGCTCCACAGTGTTCTCTCTCCCATTTCTGACTTGAAGGCAGAGGGAAAAAGCAGAGGGCTATAACCCTGGTCCTACTGGACATCGCCAGGGGACATGTGGACCTTCCATGCCTCTGGGCTAAGCACAGAGGGATACCCCAGCTCACAGGCAGCAAAAGGAATGTCTGTATGATTGTGCACAGGAATGTTTGGGGCTCCTCTGTTCTGCAATGTGGAGCAGAGTGAGGCTGCTGGCCTCCCAGGGGCAGTGTCCATACCTCTGCTACCATAAGTGACTGGGACTGACCCAGCCTAGAGCATATATCCTCTGGGAAATCTTCCCTCTCTAAGCTTGACACATACCTGCATCCGTGCATTTCTCTATATTTTGGGAATACAGTCAACTGTTCAATATTTCTTGTTTTTAAATTAGATATTTTAAAGTGAGAAAAACATTTGTTCATTTTAAGTGGTTTTTTAAAAAAGAAATGATGCACAAATGGGATAACTTTATTTCAAAAATAAGAATAAGCTTTGCAACATTATACAGTACAGTTTCACTCTCCAAATTATAAAAATTAAGACGGACCCAAAGCAGCACAGAGCAGCACACCAGTGACGGGCTCGGCTCTGGAGGCACAGGCCCGTGCAGCACCCGTGATTCTCCTTCCCTGGGAGCCTATTTGAATTTAAATTATGCACAATAAATGTCACATCTTCTCCCATTAATCTTGGTAACCCAGGGATTCTGTACATTGAAAAAGCTCTTTGTACATCAAAGAGCCTTAAAAACGCCAGTCGCCTTATTTTCTCATGGGAGGATGTCAGTGTGATTGACAAGATGAATCCAATGCTGGGCTTGTTCTAGGGGGATGGGCGGCTCTGAGCAGGGTGCTCCTGAGCCCTTTGCAGGGCTCCCCTGTCCTGAGGAACCCTTGCTGTGTGCCCTGGAGCCGTCTTGGGAGGCATGCCACCAACAGAAGGAGAATCCCGCTGCTGCCCCTGTTAAGTAAAGCTCTTTCTGGCTCCAGGGGGTGCGTCATATCTTCCAAGCCCCAAGAGCAAGTCAAGCATGCGGCAGAGAGCTGGGGAGCTCAGGCCTGGCACTGGCTCCCGCACCTACTCTGAGAAGGCAAATCTGCCTGGTGCCCCAGAGGAGAGCCCTGTGAACACCACTGGCAGAGCTGTGCTGGGCCTCTCCCTCTGCCTGGGGCTCAGGTGCAAGGTCCCCAAGGGCAGCCTCTGCTTCTCCAAATCTGAGTACCTCTAGTGCATTTCCAGTTTCACTGAGTTTGCTTCTTTATCCTTGGTAAGCAGAATGGTTGTTCTTGCTCTCTCTGCTCTGTGGAGTTATGAGGTCAAGAGAAAATAAATGCAAGTGCTCTGAAAATGGTTACATATGTCCCGATCTGAACTGTTTTTACTACCGAGTTTCAGAGAGGTGGGAAGTCATTTTCTGGACCGTCCTTAAGCGAAAGTAAAAATACGCAGGAACACCCAAGCCAGAGCCTGATCTGGTGCTGTGTCTGCCGCCTGCGAGGCGGCCTCTGTCAGGGCGCCACTGCCCTCTGCTGGCCGAGTTCGAGGAGGCAGTCAGTGCCTAACTCCCAACATCCAAGGAGCAGGCCACCGGGTGGATAGTCCTTGCTTTTGTGCCCACATAAGCATCTAGGAAACAAAGCCCATGCAGGCCAAAGCAGGACGTTCCCAACACATGCTGGCTGCATCTCTGCACCCCAAAGAACCTGTGCAGAAACCTTCTCCAGGCTTCTGGGGAGAGTCTGGTTAGGGAGCGTCTGAACCACCAGCTGGCACCTGACCCTGGTCCTTACCTGCTGGTGGCGGGGCAAAACCTGGGGGTGGACAGCTACTCTGTGTGCCTCTGACAGCTGACCAGCGCTTAGTCATCCTCAAAAATTAGAGCAGGTCCCTCTCCTTCGAGATTGGTGCTACTGGAGTCTCTGTGCCTGACTTGCAGGGTGCCTTGGGCGCCACGTGCTGGGTACAGGACCAAGCTCTCCGTGGGACTCCCAACAAGTCTCTGTGACCCTGACCCACGTCCTGGAGGAAGCACATTCTGTAGGCTCCTGTGCTGCACTTCTGTTCTGATTTGCAAAGTCTAGTCTAGATCCAGAGAAGGCAGAAGCTCCCCCTGCCCTGAGGACCTGAGCACAAGCCAAGCAAGGCCTGTCAGGAGGCAGCAGTGCCTCCTTGGGTGTGTTGCCCTGGCACCAGGGGCAAAGCCCAGGCCGGCAGCGCCTTGCCCCAGGCAGGACCCATGGGAGGCCTCCACCCCTGGGCTTCCCTCCAGGAAGCCAGAGGTATGGGCTGACCCCCTGAATCCCGTGGCTATCTCTGGGAACTGCTGAGGACCTGGTGTTTCTCACAGCTTGCCTGCTGGAGAAAGCAGAAAAGCCAGTTGACATCAATGATGTTAGGAGATGCCGGAGCACATTAGAAGAGCCACAGAGCCTGCAGGCCAAAGCCAATAGTGCAAGTGTGGTCACACCCCACCCCACACACTCACACCCGTATGTGCACATGTGTGCAGGGGCATGTGTGTGTACGTGTGCCACAGTCTGGCTGGGCACAAATCATGAGCCACTCAAGCAGGAACAAACTTTATTTCTGAACTCCCCCGAATGCCACCCACGCGGTCCTTCCAGTGACAACATACACCAACCAGAACTCCCTCCACCGGAACTTCACCAACCAATGCGAACTCCCCAAGTATCCCTGCGAGAACTCCAAAGTAGCGGGTGCCTGAGGCGGACAGCAGGGGTCTATATACAATTGAATACACAGCCTGTTTCAATCCAGCATCATCTTAAGGGCTCGCCTCTCAACCATTACTTCTGGCAAAATGCCAGGGGTCATTCTGACTCGGCTGTGGCTCTCAACATCTCCCCGCTTCTGTTTAATTGAACAACAAGTATGTGGCTTAGGGACCGTGCCTGTCTTAGGTTGTCCAATACTACATATGGTTCTTACCCGTCATCAGATGAGCTGACCTCAAGGCGTCAGCCTCCTGTCTTAGGTTGGTACCACTGCAATTGGATCTTACCCGTCACTGACTACTGGTCCAGTATACAGCCATACTTGTGGATAGGCCTTTGCACCAGTGTGGGGGGGTGAGGTTCTTTGCCTCACCTCTGTTGGCCCCCAAATTTTAGCTTAACGATCATGACAAGCAGAAGGGAGGAGGATACAAAACGCCATGACACCAAGCCAATTGACGGCTCCTTTGGAAAAATTGTACCACCAATGACATCATCAGCAAAGATACTCCAGCACTACCACAATTTGCTGCACCAATAGATAGTTCACAATGCAATCAAGTGATACATAGTCCAGGCAAGTTCTGCAAGCAGTTCAAAGTAGAGGAATCTATTAATATGTCCATTTCCTCCCAAAGTAAATCGACTCTTTGATTGAGCACCGCTTGTTGAGTTACATTATTCATTGATGCATCAGTTTATATAGTTTACTGTGATAGCTATCGCAGAAGCTGTAGTTTTGTTTTATCTTTGTCTTCACCGGCACTGGGATGAAGATAGGAATTCTGGCAATGATGGCTAAAAAAAAATTATGTAACATTCCAGCAGCCACTAAAAGAAAGCAAGTTTCTGAACAATTTACATTATCCTGAACAGAATTATTAAATATAATGAAAAGGAAAGGTGAAAGTAAACAAACAGATCTGTTAACCTCCTTTTTTGTTCACATATTAAAACAATCCTC